CTATTACTAACATATTCATTACTTGGATCTATACTATTTATGAAAATTTATTCCTAAAATGTATGAATAAAATACCATCTAGGAATAAGAACAAATTGTGCTTACCAAATGCTTTCAGTTCATTTACTAATTGTAGGATCATAATAGATTGTACAGAATTTCCTACTGATGTAACTAGAAAATCTATGGTTATTCAGAAATCTACTTATAGCAATTATAAACATTATCATACATTAAAAGCTTTAATAGGGGTTGCTCCAAATGGGGTTGTGACATTTTGTAGTAATCTATTTCCAGGCTCAACCTCTGATAAAATTGTCACTTTACATAGTGGTTTATTTGCACAACTAGAAGAAGGAGATTTGATTTTAGCCGACAAAGGGTTCTTGATTAGAGATATTTTGCCACCTGGGGTCCATCTAAATATACCACCATTTCTTGATACACCACAATTTACTAAAGAACAAATTTATTTAACTGAAACTATCGCTCGAGCTCGAATACATGTTGAACGTGCCATACGTAGAATTAAATGTTATAGGATTTTAAATCATATTCCAACATTATTATTGCCTCACAGTGATTGTATTTTTAAAGTAGTTTCTGCTCTCACTAATTTAAAATTTCCTTTAATCAAAGAAATTCAAGATAAAATGTGAATAAATTGTAATAATTATTAAAAGTAAAGTACAACTTATTTATTAATCTGTGTTATATTTAGTTACTGTTAATGTTTTTCTATTACCTGTATACATATTCTTATTCAATAACTATTCATTTTTTCCTAAAATGTATGGAATATAATGTTCTAAATAAAATGATTTAATAATGTTAAAGTTGTTTGACCAATTTGTATCTTTATAGATTTGAACTATGATAGTTTCGTCTGTTGTCCACACAACCAAAAAGCATCTACTTCTCTTGGTCATAAATAGCTGTCCTTGTATTTGGTGCCAGTAATTATGATGCTTGTTGATGAATATCTCATTGTTAATTTTGTAAATTATATATGATTGATCTTCAGTTATTGCATCAGATAATTTACATTTTCTATATTTATATGGACACTTCACTTCAACAATATCATCTTCACCAATAAGACCATCAGGTGACGCACCAATAAATCCACACTGGTGTAACCATAGTCCAGTTGGTTGAACTATAATATTTTCAGTTTCTTGTAAAATATTTACTGCTGTAGATTCGTTAGCCAGACCCCACTCTATTGCACGGACATGTTTAATGCTTCCATACTCATTATTCAATGACTTCAAAAGAGATTTTGGTATACTTTTTTTTGTCATAGCTGATATTATATCTCCAAAATTACTAGCTGTTAGTCTATGTTTTTTATAAATAAGCCATAGATCGTTTTTAGCTTGACCTACGGTTTCTTGAGCAATTTTTAAAACAGTTTCATTAGTGACTAAAAGTTTTTCTGTGAGGAAATGTTG